AATAATTTTGTAAAACAAACCTAAATTGCTTTTTATCATTTTTTAAAACTGTGATATTTGACGGCAGAGTGTTAAATAGCTTGATGCCTGAATAATACACCCCTCTCTGATAGGATGATAAATGTGTTGAAGGTATATGAAGGTGGTCATTCCTTCTGGTACCAATCACATATATAGTTACTGGTTTGAAACTTATCCAAATTATTAACAATAAATGTCATCAATGAAAGCAAATATACACATGGGACTGGTAATATGTCAAGCTTTTTAAATAGATCTCCCATTATTATGGGGCACGCGGTAGCGTAGTAGTTGAGGGGCTATGCTACAAGCTGAAAGGTCGCGGGTTCAAGTCCCAATGAGGTCACTGGATTTTTTCTCAATTGACCTAATCCTCCCAGTCGCACTAGGCCCTGGGGTTTACTCAGCCTCTAACAGAAATGAGTACCAGGAATTAATTAAATAATTTTCCTGGGGAGTAAAGCACGGCCAGCGTGTAAGGCTGACAACCTTACCGCCATCTTTTAGCCGATTGTCTAGATAGTGTGGGACCCTCAACGTCTCACACACCTATGGGCCTTCACGGCCTGTTACACGGATAGCTTTACTTTTACTTTTTACTTCTCCCATTATAATTCTTATTATTTTCTTTTGCATAACAAAGTACTTATGACTGTCTGATGTATTTCCCCAGTATATTATTCCATATTTCACAAATGAATGACAATATGCATAATATACAGCTTTAAGACTATTTATATTTAATATATAGGATAATTTTCGCATTAGAAAACAAACTGTGATCAACTTGCGAAGCAAAGAACCGATATGTCCCTTACAAGTCAGATGACTGTCCAGCTGCAAACCAAGAAATTTTATCGTTTCTACTTCTTTCAGCTTTTTGTTAAAAAACAATGTATACATATAGAGCGTAGCTTGTAGCTGCTGCTGGGGTGAATTTTATCATTTTTGTTTTATCCAGATTTAACATTAATTGATTATTTTGAAACCACGTAAACATGTGATTAAAAACAACATCCAATTTTATTTTTAAATTATAGTAGTCTTTAGCTGTGCAAAGAATACTTGTGTCATCTGCAAACCTAATAACATCCTAATTTTACTTATTTCAAGGGGGAAATCATTTATGTATATTGTCACATGTTGGGTGTATAACGCGCAACAAGTAACTTCATGCCGTATTGAATAAAGCGAATTTATTGCACATTTGCTCTTACAATCACATAATTTACAGTTTCACAGTTACTGCTATCTGCAGTATTACAATTACTTGGCCTGCGAAGTCTAGACTACAACTGACTGGTTGACTGACTCCCTGGCTAACTTGTAACTCACTACTGAATAGTGTTCGCTGCTCCTTATTTAGCCCCGTTACGGACAACACAGAAAACAGTTACGTAATAGGCACCACTTTTGTGTAACGTTGTGTTTACCGACTGCCTAGGAACAGTCGCTGCACGGACTCCCCACTGTGTTTACAAAGGCGTTGCTGGGCAGCGCTGCCGGGAGTTGTTTACGGCTACGTAGCAACTGCAGCGTCCCATGTTATGTCACCGTAGGGAAAGGGGTGTCTACCGAGCATTGCACACTGACGGACGGAGGGGGGCATGTGACGTCACTCGCGAGATCACAGAGTTCACGCAACCCCCACCTCCCGCTACACCATCCACGTCACAATATATTAAAGATTAAGGGTCCCAACACCGATCCCTGAGGAACACCACATCCAACAATTTCCCAGTTAGAATAATATTTATTATTTATACAATTTAATTCCATTCTTTGCCTCCTATATTGGAGGTAAGATTTAAACCATTGCAATAATACACCCTGCACTCCATAGTACTTCAGTTTCATTAATAGAAGATCATGATTAACGCAGTCAAAGGCCTTGGCTATGTCACAAAATATACCAGTTACATACTCTTTTCTATTCCAAGCTGTAAGTAGTTTATTTAAACATCGCATCTTCGGTTGAAAATCCCTTCTGGAATCCATACTGCTCTGAAAGTAATATTTTATGTTTTATGATATGATGATTGAGTCTTCTAAAAGTTTCAGTTTCAATAACTTTTGCAAACCCAGTTACTATAGATATTGGCCTGTAGTTACTTATAACAGCCTTTTCCCCTTTTTTGTACACTGGCTTAATAATTGCATATTTTAATCTTTCTGGATACAGACCCATGGTTAATGACTTATTAATTACATAAGTTAGAGGTTTACTAATTTGTTGTATGCACAGTTTTATAATTTTATTTGTTACACCATCATACCCTGAAGTTTTTTTTTTTATTTTAATTTGCTAATTATACAAGGTATTTCCTCTTCTGTAACTAAATTAAGATTCATATCTGGAATACCATTTGAGAAATGGGAATGCAAGTATGACATTGCAGTATAAACATTAGTTTTCTTAATATTAAGATTTTCTGTTATTTATGTGAAATATTTATTAAAACTACGAGCTGCTTCTTCAGTATTTACTTTTTTACTATTATTTTGAAAAGTCTGAGGTTGACGTTCTTTGTTATGATTGTTAATCCTACCTGTTTCAGTGTTGATAATATTCCAGGTAGTTTTTATTTTGTTTTCAACTGATATAATTAATTGATTATAATATTTCCTTTTAGCTTCTCTTATTACTCTTCTTAATATCATGCAGTAGGATTTAAACAAATAGTTGTAATTGTTTCTACAGAGAATGAACAAATATTCCTTCCATCTACAGGAGGTACGTATACCAGCTGTTAGCAAACCATTATCCTTGAGTTTATTTGTTACATTTTGCTTTGGAAAGCATGACTCATAGACAAGTAAATACTTATTTTAAATGAGTAGAATATATGTTTACATCATTAAGTTTATATATACTTTCCCATTTTTCATTAGATAGTTTATTATGAAATTGAGCAATTAAGTCTTCATTTACTAATCTTCCTGTAATTCCCTGTGCTTTTTTCTTCCCCAGGAAATTGATATATTTTAGTACTAGACACTGCACATCTTGATCTGATAGTCCATTACTAATAGAGATTACTTCATATGAATTTATCCTTGCCTTATCTATAAAAATATTATCAATTGCAGAGCTTTTGGCATCAGTTATTCTAGTTGGGAACTGTAGTGTATGAAATATATTATATGATTGCAACAGCACTAATAATCACTATCGGACTTATTCGGCATCTCATAGTTTGTTTAAAACCACAGTGAGCAAAGCAGTTCTGAATGGTCTTGATACTTAATCTTCACGAAATATCAGAATTAACTGTACTGCTAATAAAAGCTCTGTCCTTGCACTGAGCTCCTTAGCTGCTGAAGATGATGTCAGTAGATTTCCTTGAATTCTTCAAGGATGAATGGAGCACAACAGATTAACCCTTTTCCCATTAACCAATAGCTTCCATTTATCAGTTCCTTACATGTTCGAACAGCACAACACAGTTACATGATTCATTGCTTTCTCTGAACCAGACAGAGCTGCGTGTTTATAGCTCTGGATACCGTCATGTTTCATAGGCACTGTAGATATCATCCATGCAAATTTTCTGAAGAAAGGCTAGCAGCTTTGTGGATTTCCATTGTTCTGCATTTACAGCATCAGCACTCTCCTTCTTGCCATATGCCTTCTTGAATTTTATCCCAAACTTGCATTTCCATCAAGACAATCAACCATCTGTTGCTCTGAAATGACTGAGCTTATTAGCTGACTTGCTTTTCACCACTGGACCACTGACATGTATACCTCATCCAGTTATGAAAGAAAACCACTGATTGAGGGCCTCTTCAACATCTGGATCCCTACCTTCACAGTCCTGTTTTTCAGAAGTATCCTGTTGTCTGTGGCGTAATGTCCACAACTCACAGTTTCTCTTGCTGCTGGGTGAAATTGTAAATTTTGGCACTCCAGGTATCCCTGGCAGTGGATCACTTGTGTTAGGTGGTTGGTTTTCAATTTGTTCAAGTAAAACAATTTTATCAGCAAGCATTAAACATCTCTTAGACATTTGTGTAGGGATCTAAAATTTTAAATGAAAAAGTCACTGCACATATCACACAGACTCACAAATGCAGTCACAGCAAGACTGAGAGCAACTGTAGCTATGTGATCATTTATACTAAGTCAGTGACCCACTGATTACATAGTAATCACAAGTGCACCATGTGGCATCTACTGGCCAAATTAAACAGCATGGTGTCCCAAATAAGCATAGCAAATTCCGGTTATATTCTCAATTTGTTTTTGTTCTCCAGGATTTGCCCCAATAAGCAGCTGCAAAAAATTAACTGATGACCTTATTAACTGGAACGAACTGTACTTGTATATACTTTTTAGAGCTGGACCAGGGTGATAAACATATACAGCACATATGGGAAGGTATTCTAAGACTGCTGGTACTCCTGTGTACCAAGAGAAATGTCATTGTATGTACTATTATTCAAACGGGCCTTAGGCCGCGTCTACACAAGCGCACGAAGTATGTCCATTGCAACAAACGCACTTTATGACAGACGTTGCTGAGGACACCACACAGCTGCAGAATGCAGTGCATAGTTTCTTGTCTGCAATGGAGCCAAAAGAAAGCAAAGCATTCACCTCTCTTGTTTATTTCTACAATGGACGTCATGACGTTCGTTACAACAGATGCATTTCGTGCGCTTGTGTGGCCCCAGCCTAAATGACAATAAAAAGTACTGACTGCCTGTAGAATAACCAAATGTTACTCTGTCGATCACATTTTTGAAGTGTGAAGAGTGGTGGCACTAAACTGTAACCAACAATTAAATAATAACTTAATGAATATTAAGCACATTAAAGTTCAACAGGAAGTTGAAATAAATAATAATAAATAATTAATTTATGATTGTGTAGTGACTCCATTCCTGATGAATCAATTCTGCATAGTAGACATGAAAACCCTGGAAGTCAACCCATTATTTACCATTAATATCTTTACTGGAAACAAGTTACTTACTGCTGCCCAAATCCACAAGAAAGGCCCTGTTCAGTTGTTTGTGGTAGACAAGAGCTGAATGTACGCGAGAACATGATGCATGATCAATACAGAAATCATTCATCTGTGGGTTTCGACCAAATAGGTAACATTTCTTCTCGTCAATCATTAATTTCTGAAAATAAAAGTTTTAATAAAGTGATGTCAGTACTAACCTTCTTCTGAAAGTGACCAGTTCAGAGATATACATGACTAAATATTGTACCTGGATGAGTTTATCTCCCTTTAAAACGTCTAAATGAAGGCCAACGGGTGGTTTACCAGCCCTGTAACAATAAATTGTTTAACAGGACGTAACATAAAACCATAACCTTAAATTAATACGCACCACGAAATAAACGCGAAACAATCCGGTTTAAAAAATATAAAATTGACAATTTGTGATAAAATAAATTTAAAAAAATACGACACACATAATTAACCAAACCCTGCCATATTAACATATGAACATAAAATTAAAGTAAACGCACCAACTTGGAACATCATAATGGTTCGCCATCTTAGCAATTATTTCAGACAGAGAAACAGAGATGGCAGCAGTGCGAATTAATGTTTTGAAATGAGGACAACACGCGTTAATAATCTGCAGCAAGGAGGCTCAATGATCGCTCAATTATTCTGTTCTTCGTTTATGGTCCACGTACAAGACGTACAACCGGTATGTGCCATAACTAACTCATGGAACTGAGTCCTCCTTGAGAAGCTGGCAATCGTTCAGCTACTCAAGAATTTCCCAGCAATTTATGGAACCCGAAAATTCGTTACCGTGTTCACAAGAGCCAGCCACTGGTCCCTACACAGAGCGAATTCAACCCAGTCCATTCCACCCCAACTTATCTCTCTAAGATCCATTTTAATATTTTTGCGTATGAATTATGCGTGACTAGGCGAGGTTTGGATTGGTGAATGGATTTATTGACCACTTATATCCACACCCAGTAAAGTAAAAAAATTAAAAAGTAAAGGTATCCCTGTAATAGGCCATGGAGGCCCATAGGGTTGTGAGATGTAGAGGTTCCCACTATTATGCCGCTAAGGTTATGCACATGTAGATGTAGTTTTTTTGGGTAAATTTGAAATCACTACAATTAGATGTAAGATGGAAAAAACAAAAAAAAAAAACTAAACTAAAACTGAATAGTAATAAGGACATGAACCGGAGAGCTGGGTTTACAAGGAAGTAAAAGAAATTCCTGACTAATCAGAATGTTAACACGACAGCGGGAACCGCTGACAATACGGAAGGGCTATATGAAATGTGTCATAAGCACTA